GCTTAATTTAAAATGAGACTTTCTAGGTTCTTAAATGAAACAAAATCATGGAGATTTGGCACTTGAATAAATGATAAGTATACAAAGAGTAAACTTCTACAAAAGATCAGTGAAGAATGATTTTATACAATTGTTGTTATTGGCAGCCCTTACCATTGCATTCATCTTTCTCGCATTTGCTCCTTTCAGTCTCGATCCCATTTTCGTCTGCTTTAGGACAGCCCTTTTTGGACTTGTCAAAACAAAATCTTTCTCTCTTTCTTTCGCAACCGAGATCACATGGYCCCCAATCGCTCCAATCGCTCCAACTCCCTGATTTAGCTGACAGTAACGGAGAAAAATTCATGAATACAGCTAATAGTTCTGTGGAACAGTGTACCCTCAATCACAAAAGGGGACTGGGACCAGTGAAAAAAAGCGGGTAGAACTAGGGGTTTTGAGGGGTGATTGGTGTTCAATGGGATTATTTGTGAGCCGATGATTTGGTACAAAACAGGTTGTTTTACCGAATACTTTCTTAGTTAGATTAGTACTTTATAGGATATACTTCATTTTCGAATTCAAAGCAAATAACCGCTTTTGATTGACAGCAGATTCTCTTACGCAAAGACCTAACACAGAAGAAATCACGAGAAAGTGTTGTAAGTGCAATACCGCTAACAATTTACATTTTTACCTATGCTTATCTCTCTTAGGTCTCGTGGGAACACAGGTTTAGTCTCAATTCGTAGAAAATGCAAATTTTCAAGCCTATTGTAAGATTGACATTTTCTCGTGCTTTCTATAGTCTACTAAGGTCTTTGCGCAAAAGAATCTTTTTTTTGTAAACCTATTGTCTTTTTACGAATGACTGAGCTTTATGCAAGGCGCCTCGTCTTGATTCCTTTGTTTGTGACTGCTGAGGCGAAATTCGCAAGTCGGCTATTATTTCCTTTTCATTCCTGTGTATTGTACAATGTGTAATATTGCTAAAATTGCGTTAAATTATTTGAGTCAACAAGTTGTTGTGCCTAACCTGTTTTGTTTGGAGTAACTATTGCAAAGTTACGACACTAGATTTGGTAGACAGCTACTTTTCCAACATGCTCTTTATTAAAGAACAACTTAACCAAAAAAAGGATTTTTGTGATGTCACACTTCAATATTCAATTTGGTATTCTGGCTGTGTGTTATAGCCCTCCAAGGTTTATATTGTTTTGTCTCATAAATAACCAGAGAAAACCGCATGCAAATTGTGAGGAAGGACATTAAAATTGACATTTTTATGCTCACAATTAGGAATATTTTCTAACATGAGGCTAACACAGGGCATTGCAGAATTCGAAACTGCAGTTTTTACACAAGGATACATAAGCCTGAATTTCTCCTCTTTTTTTCCCCTTTTTTATAATCAGTTTTGGTATAATTGTTTCCATATGCTATTAAAATGTTATATAGTTAAATTCAAATGAACTAAGCGAAAAAAAATCAATCCAATTGCAACTTATGAATACTAGGTAGTTCTAAA